AAACCCTAAACCCTAAACCCTAAACCCTAAACCCTAAACCTCTAAACCCTAAACCCTAAACCCTAAACCCTAAACCCTAAACCCTAAACCCTAAACCCTAAACCCTAAACCCTAAACCCTAAACCCTAAACCCTAAACCCTAAACCCTAAACCCTAAACCCTAAACCCTAAACCCTAAACTAAACCCAAGGACTGTTAGTATAAGGGGGAACATCCCAAGTTGAGGGTGTGGTGCTTGATTGGTTAGCTTTCATGTTTAGGGGATGAAGGTTTGACGTTTGAGAAAGTGGAGGGCAATTGAGGGTTTAGGGGGTATAGAGTTGAGGGTTTAGGAGTTTAGGGTTTAGGGTTTAGGGTTTAGGGTCAAGGGTGGAACGCTTAGGAACGAGGGTTCAGGGTCTAAGGTTTAGGGGGTTTCTTCGCCAAAAAAGACAACACTGCATCCGGCAGGAGGCGCCAGTATTCCACGATGCGGAGCATCAATCAGCCCGGCCTTGCCCAAGCTCGAATCCCCCGGGGAGCCTTCTTGTTCAACATCCTCATGGTACCCTAAACCCTGAACCCTACACCTTAAACCCTAAAGGCCCTGAAGGCCTGGAGGCCCTGAAGGCCCTGAAGGCCCTAAAAACCCTGAAGCCTGAGCCCGAACCCTGAACCCTGAACCCTGAACCCTGAACCCTAAACCCTAAACCCTAAACCCTAACTTGCGAGCTCGGGGGGTGAAGCTTCATTCCGCGCAAATGGCTCGACGCTGTCATTTTCCAAGGGATCTTCTCGAAGCTCATGTGTCTTGGCAGTTCCGTGTCGTTTAGGGTTTAGGGTTTAGGGGTTTAGGGGTTTAGGGGTTTAGGGGTTTAGGGGTTTAGGGGTTTAGAGGTTTAGGGGTTTAGGGGTTTATGGGTTTAGGGGTTTAGGGGTTTAGGGGTTTAGGGGCTTAGGGGTTTAGGGGTTGAGGGTTTAGGGTTTTTAGGGTAAACCGGCTCTATGACATATGGGCTGACTTGATTGGAAAGGGGTATTCGATGAAGAGCAGTTCTTCACTCGAGATGCGTAGTGGTTCCCAGGGATGCATGTTGGTGAGTATCTCGGCCCCGGCATATGATTCCCTTTTGAGTCTCTTACGTAAACCTAAGCCCTAAACCCTAAACCCTAAACCCTAAACCCTAAACCCTAAACCCTGAACCCTGAACCCTGAACCCTGAACCCTAAACCCTGAACCCTAAACCCTAAACCCTAAACCCCAAACCACGAAGGGCAACTTTTGCTCTCTCGCGCGCTCCTTTTCAAAATGTCAAGCACGGCGAGGATTTTGCGTGGTTCGGGTGTAGGGTTTGGGGTGTGGGGTTTAGGGTTTAGGGTTTTGGAGTTTAGGTTTTTAGGGTTTTGGGGTTTAGGGTTTGGGGTTTAGGGTTTAGGGTTTAGGGTTTAGGGGTTTGGGGTTTGGGGTTTTGGGGTTTTGGGGTTTTGGGGTTTTAGGGTTTTAGGGTTTTAGGGTTTCGGGTTTGGGGTTTGGGGTTTGGGGTTTTTGGGTTTTGGGGTTTTTGGGTGTTTGGGTTTTAGGGTTTTAGGGTTTTAGGCTTTTTTGGGTTTTAGGGTTTTTAGGGTTTTAGGGTTTTAGGGTTTTAGGGTTCAAGGGTTCAAGGGTTCAAGGGTTCAGGGTTTGGGGCTTGGGGTTTAGGGTTTGGGGTTTGCGAGAGTACCACACCGCAAGGAGGACACTTGTCGAGGCGATCCTTCCCTGCACCACAACCCCATCCCTGGGCAGAGCTTACATGGAGCCTCTGTCTCGCGGGTGGCGGACGTACTGAACTCTGGCTACTTATGCCAGGCCCTATACTTCTAGGGACCTGCAAGCCCTAAACCCTAAACCCTAAACGCTAAACCCTAAAAACCCTAAAAACCCTAAACACCCTAAACCCTAAACTCTAAACCCTAAACCCTAAACCCTAGACCCTAGACCCTAGACCCTAGACCCTAAACCCTGAACCCTAAACCCTAAACCCTAAACCCTAAACCCTAAACCCTAAACCCTAAACCTATCTCCAGCAACCGAACGAACCAGGTCCTGTCAAGTGTAGGGAGATCCGCTGGTGGAACCAGCCGACGGTGACTCTAGGGGCTAAAGGAGGGACCCTTGTACCTTAGGGTTTAGGGTTTAGGGTTTCGGGTTTAGGGATAAGGGACCTTAGGGGTTCTTTAGGGGTTGTTTAGGGGCTACTGAGGTAGGTATCTAGGGACTCTCTACACAACGGTCTGTCTGGGGCTTCTTTTTGGGGGAATAGGCTTCAGGGTTCCCTTGTAAGGGGGTCCCTCCTTGTACCCCTCAAGAAATGGGTCAAAGCCTCTCCCCTTGCCCGATGTGTCAGGAGCAAGGGAAGTCAGGTTGCGGGGTTTAGGGTTTAGGGTTTAGGGTTTAGGGTTTAGGGTTTAGGGTTTAGGGCCTCTGAGGAAGCGAAGCTTCCACGTCCAAAGCAACGGAGGAGCAGCCCAGCGGGCTAGTTGTACGGTAACATCTAAACCCCAAACCCTAAACCCTAAACCCTTGTACATACTACAAGCTTCTAAAGGATGGCAGCGGAGACCCCAAACGGTGAGAGACCAGGTGAGTTATGCATATTTCCTGAGCCCCCGACGTCCAAATTTCGTGGGCAGGTACGGATTTCGCAAGCCCAAACGTCCCAGGAGCGATAGCAGGTTCGGGACAGTGGAACTCTAGGATTCTAGGCCGGAAAAACACAAAATGTGCAACCCTGAGCCGACAACTCCAAACTTGTTTGGGATGCTGCAATGTCGGAATTCTAACCCGACAGCTTTGGTGGAAGTTTGGAGTGTTAAAGGCTTTTGCAACCAACTCTGCTTGGAGGTTCGTGGGTACTTATTTAACCCCTGTTATCAGGCGACTTCTAAACCCTAAACCCTAAACCCTAAACCCTAAACCCTAAACCCTAAACCCTAAACCCTAAACCCTAAACCCTAAACCCTAAACCCTAAACACTAAACCCTAAACCCTAAACCCTAGCCCCAAACCCTAAACCCGAAACATCCCTCTCCTTCCCCCCCCTCCTCCTCCTGCCTGTGTCTCTCTGTGTCTCTCTGCGTCTCTCATGTTTGCTCACTTTGTCATAGTGGGCTAGCATTTTACATATTTAAAGGTACTTAAACTCAATAAGGATAGACATGTGTAACATATTGTTGCTATCCCAACCATGAACGATACCCTAAACCCTAAACCTAAACCCTAAACCCTAAACCGTAAACAATTCAACCCGTCAGCCCGACTGGCATCCGTTGCCCAGATCGAATCTGGATTGAGGGTGCAAGTGGAGAATGCAGAATACAGAATACAAAAAACGCACGCTGCAGCCGTCGCTGCCAGGGGGCTTAGGGTTTAGGGTTTAGGGTTTAGGGTGTAGGGTTTAGGGTTTAGGGTTTAGGGTTTAGGGTTTAGGGTTTAGGGCCTGGTTTAGGGTTTTAGCCCTTTCACGCTATAATTCATAAGACGGGGGCCTTTTGGGGCCACCTGCGAGAGACCGCCACAGTCTTCGTCTGGCAGAACTGCACAGGGCAAATCCTAGATAGGCCCTTTAAACCCTAAACTCTAAGCCCTAAACCCTACACCCTAAACCCTAAACCCTAAACCCTAGACCCTAGACCCTTTAAGTTTAAGAGGATCTTATTTCGTAAATATGTTTCAGAAGGTTTTAAGGGCCATCCTCGTATCATCTGGCTAACCCATCTGAGAGATGCATGGGTTGAGGGGCTTAGGGCTTAGGGCTTGGGTTTAGGGTTTAGGGTTTGGGGTTTGGGGTTTAGGGTTTAGGGTTTAGGGTTTAGGGCTACTCTTACCCAAACCTTACAACGGGCCTTCGAAGGCCCGAGCTAAGCCATCGGCGAAACCCGCTTCAGTCCGCTTAGCCGCCAGGAGGAGGCTCATGGTACTTATGAACTGGACTTATAGCTGTGCTTCTGACCATAATCAGGGCACTTAAAGGGCTTGTAAGTGGGTTATAAGTACAGTTCTATCTGGCCAAGTACTCACCCTAAACCCTAAACCCTAAACCCTAAACCCTAAACCCTAAACCCTAAACCCTAAACCCTAAACCCTAAACCCTAAACCCTAAACCCTAAACCCTAAACCCTAAACCCTAAACCTAAACCCTAACCCTAAACCCTAAACCCTAAACCCTAACCCCTAAACCCTAAACCCTAACCCTAAACCCTAAACCCTAAACCCTAAACCCTAAACCCTAAACCCTAAAACCCTAAAACCCTAAAACCCTAAAACCCTAAACCCTGCACCCTAAACCCTAAACCCTAAACCCTAAACCCTAAACCCTAAACCCCAAACCCTAAACCCTAAACCCTAAGCCCTAAACCCTAAACCCTAAACCCTATAAAAAGTACCCTGAACCTCCAGCAGGAGGCCGAGTGCGAGCCGCCGTGGCCAAGTGCGCTGAACAAGCGCAGGTGGGCTCGTCTGGGGAGTTTAGGGTTTGGTTTAGGGCTATTAGGGTTGGGGGCCCGAAAGCCTGCTTTGTGCTGAGGGTTCAGGGTGACGTTGCCCGCCTGCTGAAGGCGCCTGGATCTAGGGGAGCCAAGGCGGGGTTTTTGAGCTCCAGGGTTTTAGGGCTTAGGGTTTAGGGTCTAGGGTTTAGGGTTTCGGGTTTAGGGTTTAGGGTTTAGGGTTTAGGTTTTAGGGCATGTTTGGATCGTCTGTATGAAGTGAGAAGCATGCGTGCCTTTCTTGGGGCGATGGCACCACCCGCAGCCCCCACCCTCGCCGACCCAAGATCTCAACCCCAGGCCCCTATCCCATAGCCATCGAGCCTCAACCCCGCTCCCAACAAACCTATCTAGGATCTAGCTGCGATGCGCTCTGAACCCTAACTGGGTCTGTTCGATCTTGCGGTGGGAAGTGCACGATTCTGTGGCATTTGGCTGCGCCTCGCCTGCTCCTCTCCCTTGATCCTTTCCGTTGCTTTCCGTCCACCGTGGCCGCGATGATCGTCTTGGGAGGCCGATGCACGTGGATGCACGCGATGACTTCTGCATCCAGGAAGCGGCCAATGGAGTCCACTCCCCCGGCGCCTCTTCTGCAGGCGGAGGTCAGAGATTGGCTTGGCCCGGAATCGACTCAGCACCAGGGCCTGCTGATGGAAAGGAGGCCATGGTGGGGCGACTGCCAAGATGCCGTCGATCGCCTGGCCGCCTCGGGCGACCTGGGCGACGAAGACGAGGTCGTGGTGCGAGTGAGCCGCGGCCCGGCGGGTTTGGGGAACCTCCGCTTCGTCGCCGACAAGATCCTCGGAAAGCTGACCTTGCCCCAAGATGTGAAGGACGCGTTCCACGCCGATATCTGCCAGCTCGGCGCGGTGGTCGAAAAGATGTGCCCCTGGAGTGACTGCGTGGTGGTGAAGTTGGAGCTGATTGGGGAGAAGGCTTGTAGTCGGTGGCACCGTGACTACTACTGCGGTCGCGCAATCGTGTCATACAACGCGGCGGGCACACTCTACACCCCGGACGAGAATGTGAATTTCTGGGAGCTGGAGAACAAAGGTGGGAATGAGCGCATCATCCGAAGGAAATCCGAGATCTGCGCTGCCGGCGTGGGGGACGTGCTCTTCATCAAGGGGGTCAAGTATCCAGACCCTGTGAAGGGCTTGGTTCACAGGTCACCGGAAGTTCAGTACCACTGTAATGGTCACGTGGTAAACCGCTTGGTGCTGAAAATCGATGTCCCAGAGCCGGAGGCTTGGAAAAAGTCAGATTGCGACTGCTGTCCGTGACCTCTGAGACCTTCGTTGCGTTGCCATCCGTATGCTTCTTCTGATTGGCGCGCTGTGCCTGAATCAGGGGTGTATGAATTTGACTACTTGGAGGTTATAAGTACAGTTATAAGTACAGTTACAATTAGTTATTAAGTACCATGAACCTCCAAGTAGGTTTAGTTTCGAGTGTGTGAGTGCAATATGCACCGCAGGCCACACCTGTTGGCCAATGAGAGGACGACTGGCCTTGGCTTGGAGGTTCACGGTACTTCTTAACCAATTAAGAAGCTGTACTTCTTATCACCCACTTACAAGCCCCTTATGTGCCCGAATATGGTGAAAAGTACAGTCATAAGTACAGTTATAAGTACAGTTATAAGTACAGTTATAATGGGTTAATAAGTGCCATGAACCTCCAAGTGCCTGTTGGCCTTGAGGGGCGCTTTGTTCTCGTCGCCTGTTTGCGGTTTCCGAGAGTTGGCATGACCGCGGCGGGCGGCTTGCATGCATCTTACGGAGAGTGCCAGTGCCAAATCATTCCCCTAAGGGTTTAGGGTTTAGGGTTTAGGGTTTAGGGTTTAGGGTTTAGGGTTTAGGGTTTAGGGTTTAGGGTTTAACCCTCAACTCTAAGCTGCCGTAAACCCTCTTCGGTCAGCCACAAGCACTCCATGTCTTGCCTAAGAAGAGCCTTGGTGTTGATTCTTGGGAGTCAGCCCTAGCCTCCCTAAACCCTAAACCCTAAACCCTAAATCCTAAACCCTAAACCCTAAACCCTAAACCCTAAACCCTAAACCGTATCAACCGGCCCCCGGGTGCTTTGCAAAGCGATGATGGTGCCCCCTTAACCCGACAGAGAACCCAACCTAATTCGGTGGAATAAGCTGTATGCTGCAAGCCTAGAAGCAAAAGTGAGCAAAGACCTTTGTTCGGGCTTGTTGAGATACCCTAAGCCCAAAACTCGAAACCCCAAACCCCAAACCCCAAGCCCCAAACCCCAGCCCCAAATACCAAACCCCAAATACCAAACCCTAAACCCTAAACCCTATACGAGGTCGAGCTCGACCTCCGCGAGAAGGAGCTGGCTGCAGCAAAACTCCGCGTGGCGGAGTTGGAGGCGTCGCGGGAGTTCAGGGCTTTTGGCTGCAGGATCCTTCTGGCGGTGTGTAGGTGGTTAAAGGCTTGAAGGCTCTAGGCCCTAGCCCCAAACCCCAAACCCCAAACCCCAACCCCCAAACCCCAACCCCCAAACCCCAAACCCCAACCCCCAAACCCCAACCCCCAAACCCAAACCCCAAACCCCAAACCCCAAACCCCAAACCCCAAACCCCAAACCCCAACCCCAAACCCCAAACCCCAAACCCCAAACCCTAAACCCTAAACCCTAAACCCTAGACCCTTAGGGTTTTAGGGTTTTCTTGTTGAGGAGTTGTGTGGTTTGGGGTCGATGGGGCCTGGCGGGCTCCGGGCGAGCTCGGCCCACCTCAGTGCTCCCCACCACCTGAAAGCCCTGACCCAAAGGTTTAGGGTTTAGGGGGTAGGGTTTAGGGTTTAGGGTCTAGGGTTTAGGGTTTAGGGTTTAGGGTTTATTGAAATTATTAAGGGTTCAGGTCCGGGGAAGTTTCGGGGAGTTTCGAGGAGTTTCGAGGAGTTTCGAGGGTTCTGTTTTGGATTTTTTGGAATAATTTCAAGTTACAGGGGCTTGAGGGTTTAGGGTTAGTGTTTAGGGCTTAGGTTTAGGTTTGTTTGTGGGTACCATAAATGTTTCCTAAGGGTAGTTACATGGTCCCTTAGTATGGGGCCAGGGGGCCCCCGATATACCCCTGAAACTTATATACCCTATACAAATGCAAGGCCTATACATCAGAACCCTTTGTTTGAACAGCAGTTCTCTAGGGCTCTTGTGTTTTTGCGACCCCATCACAAGTAGGTGTGTGTGTGTGTGTGTGTGTGTGCGCGTGTGCGAGTTTGAGTTATCGCCAAGGGCTTAGGGTCAGAACCCTTTTGAAGGAGGTTAGGTGCCATGTTCAGGGCCCATGCAACTACCCTTAGATGTTTAGGGGCTCCTAGACCTGATCTGGGTAACATAAATGGGGGTTTCCGAAACTAGGGGTATCCTCACTCGAGGGGTCTGTATTGGCGGTCCCTTATCTTCCAAAACCCAAAACCCAAAACCCTAAACCCTAAACCCTAAAGCCTAAACCCTAAACCCTAAACCCTAAGCGTTTCTTGGGTTCCTATGGCCCCCGGAACCCCCGACCAGGCTGAGCTCAAGAAGCGCGACGCCGCCCTCACCGCGGCCCTCCAGGAGTTCTCGAGTCCTTGGGAGGGTTTAGGGTTTAGGGTTTAGGGTTTGGGGTTTAGGGTTTAGGGTTTAGGGTTTGGGGAAGAGGGTTCAGGGTTTAGGGTTTAGGGTTTAGTATGGAGCCTTGGGGAGCAGTGGGGGAGCCTCGGCCCTACAAAGGAGGCATCGCTTGAGCGCGAGGAGGCTGAGGAGGCGCCCTGGGAGGGGGTGTAGGGTTTAGGGTTTAGGGTTTAGGGTTCAGGGTTTGGGGTTTAGGATTTAGGGTTTTCGGGGCTTCAGAGGGTTTTGAGGGGGTTTAAGGGTTTAGGTGCCCTCATAAACCCCTCCAAACAAAGAGGGTTTAGGGCTGTAGGGCTTGGAGTTTAGGGTTTTAGGGTTTGGGGCTTTAGGGGTTTCAGGGTTCTAGGGCTTCAGGGTGAGATTGGAGCGTTTGGCCTTTTATGGGGCTGTAGGGTTTTAGGTAGGGTTGAGGGGCTGGATTTGCGGTTTTAGCGCTTTTTGGGTTTTTGGGTTTTTGGGGCTTTTGGGGTTTTAGGGCCTTTGCGGTCTGAGGGCTACTGGGGCTTTTGGGGTTTCAGGGTTTAGGCTTTAAAAGGGTTACTTGGAGGTTCAGAGTACTTGTGAACCAATTATAACGATGATAACAGTACTTCTACTCCACTTATGGGCCCCTTAAGTGCCCTAATATGGTTACAAGTACAGTTATAGTAACAGTTATAATTGGTTAATAAGTGCCATGAACCTCCAAGTAGGGTTCAGAGCTTTCAGGGGTTGAGGGCCAGGATGTGGGGGTTGGGGCTCAGAGCCTTTCCGGGAAGACCTCCTTTGTCCCCTGAACCCTAAACCCCTGCAAAGGATCCTGAGTTTCTTGAAGGCCCTGAAAGCTTGAAACCCTAAACCCTAAAGCCTAAACCCTAAAACCTAAACCCTAAACCCTAAACCCTAAGCCCTAAACCCTATAAACCCTCAACCCGGCTACTGTAATGATAGCAATGGGGTGGTGACCAACATGAAGTGCCTGACGGTTTATGGATCCGGTCCCAGTGCGGACGGGGATGGCTTCGGTTTGGAGCTCATGCCCCAAGAAAAAGCCCGATAAGCCTAAAACCCTCAAAGCCCTACCCCCCCCCCCCCCCCCAAAGCGAAAAGGACATAAACAATAAAACCTAAACCCCGTATGTATATATATATATATATAGAAATATAAATGTAAATTAAATTTAAATTTAAATTGATATATATATATATATGTATGCATATATACATATTTTATTTATTTATTTATTTATTTATTTATTTATTTATTTATTTATTTATTTATTTATTTATTTATTTATTTATTTATTTATTTATTTATTTATTTATTTACTACTTATTTATTTGTTTGTTCACTCATCTACTTCTTCACATATAACACATAAGCCCTTCGGCCCTCAAGCCCCGGCTAGAGAGGTCCAGCGCCGGCTGTGTGCCGAGTTCGCGCAACGTCAGGCCCGGCTGGAGGCATCCCCCGCGGTTCCTGAAGGTTGCGCTTGGTTTAGGGTTTAGGGTTTAGGGTTTAGGGTTTAGGGTTTAGGGTTTAGGGTTTAGGGTTTAGGGCTTGGGGTTTAGGGTTTGGGGTTTGGGGTTTGGGGTTTAGGGTTTAAGGCTTGGGGTTTAGGGTTTTGGGGTTTTGGGTTTGGGGTTTGGGGTTTAGGGTTTGGGGTTTAGGGTTTGGGGTTTAGGGTTTGGTGTTTAGGGTTTAGGGCTTGGGGTTTAGGGTTTAGGGCTTGGGGTTTAGGGTTTGGGGCTTAGGGTTTGGGTTTAGGGCTTCGGGTTTAGGGTTTGGGGTTTTAGGGTTTGGGGCTTAGGGTTTAGGGTTTGGGAGTTAGGGGTTAGGGTTTGGGGCTTAGGGTTTAGGGGTTTGGTGTTTGCAAGGTTTAGAGCGTAGGGGTGGGGGCTTGCAGAATTCGGGTTTCAGGACTTCGCGTTGCAAGGGGGGGCTGGGGGGGGGGGGGGGGGGGTCAGACGCAAGAGGGGGATGATGGGGACCCTAAACCCTAAACCCTAAACCCTAAACCCTAAACCCTAACACCCTAAACCCTAAACCCTACCCTAAACCCTAAACCCTAAACCCTAAACCCTAAACCCTAAACCCTAAACCCTAAACCCTAAACCTAAACCCTAAACCCTAAACCCTAAACCCCCTAAACCCTAACCCTAAACCCTAAACCCTAACCCTAAACCCTAAACCCTAAACCCTAAACCCTAAACCCTAAACCCTAAACCCTAAACCCTAAACCCTAAACCCTAAACCCTAAACCTAAACCCTAAACCCTAAACCCTAAACCCTAAACCCTAAACCCTAAACCCTAAACCCTAAACCCTAAACCCTAAACCCTAAACCCTAAACCCTAAACCCTAAACCCTAAACCGCCTAAACCCCCCCAAGCCCTCAGGAACGGCAGCCTGCAAAGCCGACGTGACTCGCCTGGCTGGGCTCCCGGCCCCGAGGGTAGCTCCTTAGGGGGTCTTAGGGGGCTTCAAGGGGGTTTAGGGTTTAGGGTTTAGGATTTAATTAGGGTTTAGGGTTTAGGCACCCTAAACAAGATTAGAAGTATAGACAAGAGTACAAGTATTGTTCCCAGAACTAAAACACTACTTAGAACGACCCGTGAACCTCCAAGTCAGCCCTAAAGCCATCAAGGCTCCTAAGCCCCAAGCTCCAGAATACTTA